TTCTTTAGAAGGAATGAAGTGAAATAATGTGTATGAATTTACTTACTGATTGTAATAACCAATACAGCCAAAATTATTAAGATTAATCGAAGCACCAGCATGTCAATCATTCTTTGTGGACGGACAAAGTAACTAGGAAAAAATAAAATAGTAATAGATAACCTTTTTGAATTTGAGCTCGTTTTCAATCTCTAACTTTCAACAAAAAAGAAAAACTATAGCTGAAATTAAAGAGATGAGTTTTGTACTTGTCATAGAGTCAATCCATCCGCGTTGTCGCTCGAATTTTGGTTTTCTCAAAAGAAAATAGATAAATGGGCGCGAGAGTGGGTGATACATAGCATATACCACAAGAAAGAACTAGGATAGATAGGTACTTCTTTCCTTTTTATTATTATTTTTCTTTCCTGCTCTCTCAACAAAAAAAATTTGAGTGGCAATCACATGAAGATCATTGGAAATATAAAACAAAACCTAATTCCTTTTTTATCACTTGAAATAAACGATAGAGTAATTTCGTTAACTAAATGCTAGATCATCACGTGATAAATACCCAACTATCAGCAGAAAAATTTAAAATTAGGTTTTTTTCTTTTCATACCACGCATTGTGGTGGTATTCAAAGTGTTTTGGACATTTTCTTCTCATAAAAAAATAATAAATAGTTTGCGTAAGTGTTAATGAGAATACGAAGATAAAACGGTGTATTACGCACGTTTCAATGCTAATTGTTTATGTGACAAAAGCCATGTAGACGCATGTTGCATGCACTCTGAATCACTCGTAAAGTCTATATTGAATAATTATTTATATTTATCAACACCTACACTATTATATTAAACAAGTTATTTTCGGTAGAAAAATGTAATTAGTGGAGAAATAAAAAAAAGAAATATGATTTCCCGCGTTAGTCTCGATTTTAGCTCGATAAAATGTCTCTTCTCGTCTCATACGGGAAATCACACATACAGAGAGCATCACTTATTGGGAATATCTATCTAATAAGTTGTGAAAATTTTATTTCTACAAATCATATGCGGAACTCGAGTATAAGAGAACTGTTTTGAGCGCACTTCTCGATGTAGATTGCAATTGCACTGCGCACAATTTGCAATATCGGCAGACACGATGGACATTTTGAGCTGCGAATGAGGACCCAGCGTGCAGATTTGAAGCGTGAATTTCGTTGAAACTGACGGTAGCATCAAAAACAACTGAACCGGAGGTGCTACTTCTTGCATATCTGTATGCATTATCATATTTTCGTTTTACCTGCCGTTGTTTTGTGGATCGTAGTAAAAGAAGGATTAGAATGAACTCAGTACTAGAAATAGTTGTAATTAAATGATGTAATCTTTGCTGCGAGATGTAGGTAAAAAGATATGAATATATGGTGAAACTAGATGGCAATCATGCTCGAGACTTGCGAATGTGGTGCGAATGTGATAAAAAGAAAAGAAAAAGGAAAAAAAATACACCCTGCTGCCTGGAATCGAACCAGCGTCTTTGTGTATAAAAGACACATTTTCCTACAGAGACTACTGCATGAAACTCTTTTACCCTTGAGACATCACTTAAGACGGCATGTTATGTAGGTTAAGGCGTGGATAGATAATTAAAGATCGAACGTTATCAACTAAGTCACAATCGGTTTGCCTTAGTAAGTGAGGGATGTCCGAGTTCCATCAATTGCGGAATTACACAACGTCCACGAGAATTTTACTGTCTTGCACGAGAATTCTACGTGGGTTAGGTTCTGACCTTGATTTACATGGTGAACTCGACTTGAAGCTGAGTTGAAAGACGAATTCTACGTTAAGAAATCCAGAATGGTCGAGAAACGTGGCATTTAGCCAATCGTTTGTCGCTTTCTTCAAGAAGTAGAATTATCGTCTAAGAGACTAAAATTCTCGTGGTAATTTTCAAAATTCCTGTGGAAAAGTAAGATTCTCATGAAGAATATATTAGGAATATTCTGAGTTCCGCTCACACAAGGTGAATTCTCGTATAAGAGACTAAAATTCTCTTTGAGATTGCTGGCCTTGCTTCTTTCATAACTAAACTTCTCATGCGGTAGACTGGAATTCTCGTGAAAGGAAGTGAAATTCTTGTGGAAGGACACAAAATTCCGGAATTTCGAGAAGTCTTTCTGCTTGTGATTTGTGTACTATATTTGGCTTTTAGTCAAGGGGAAAATTCCCACGATAACAGAAAAATTCTCGTGGTAAGAGTAAAATTCCGGAATTGATAGAACTCGGACACTGCTGAATATACAAAAAGAAGGAGTTAACAGAAATTGTCAATGGTGTTAGTCTTAGTTCCAGCCTGGCATCATGAAGTTTTCTGCGTTTTATTTTACATAAAGACCAAAAAGCAATATACAAGCGCTCAAACAACTAGTCAATAAACTTAGTAGTCGCATCTATTGTCTTTATGCTCTCACCTTCTATTATATGTTTTTTCTTGAATTAAGCAAATTCTTTTATCAGTTTATTCACCACTAAGAAAGTATACCTATACGTATAATAGTGAAATTATTCAGATCATGTAATATACATTAACCAGTTAGCATAATATTGACTATTCGTGGTTATATAATAACATCTATACAGTTAGTTTCCTTTTCTTTTAAATTTTTTAATAGTAATGAAGAGTTAAATCACACTTAATACAACTGTTTCAGTAGGATATTTATTACATAAATGAATAACATGTAGTACATATTTCATTCTGGTGCTATAATAGATTTTATATTTGCATTTCCTCACGTTGAAGTAGAGCATAATGAATATCGCACGCTGCTGAGTTGGAAAGGTGAGAATGCGCATTCATAACAAACAAATTCACATAAATTGAATGTAAAACGATAGAAAAGTGAAAGAAGCGGAAAATAATTTTGAACAATGGAGATATGAAAAAAGCACTATCTATTTAGAGAAGAATAATATTACAAAAGTACATATTTCTTTTGGAATGTCCTCTAATCGAACATTACCGAACGCTTTGTGTTGGGCAGTGCTTAAATTAACTTGATTACTATTAGAAAACATTATGTAATTGAAAAGATCGAAAGTAAAACAATTACTCGTCGAAAGATCACCTGTGGCACAACAGAAAGTTTCAATCAGGACTAGAAAGGGTTGTTTATACAGTTTGCTTACAATTCAATAAATGTTTACTGTAAAAATCTAGAAAATCATCGTTTATATTCACCACTCATTTTCTATACGTTTTTGAACTATATTAATACGTTCTAGTTCATTCAAATTAAATTGTCCATTAACAGCCCATTGTTTTGCACGCTCACAAATTCAAGGTCCACAGTTGCGTTGTTTTTGCGTTACCCTTTTTAGTCTTTTCTCTGGTATATGCCTTAAACAGTGTCACTCAACAGTTGGGACTTCGAAACTTTCCAAGATCGAGATAATTAACACGTGATTAACTATAATATCAAAGAGAAGAAGGGAATGTTATACATAAAGATAGAGAACACTTGCCGACAATAGCATGAGTACAGTATAGAGACTTATTAAAATTCTTATTCTCTTCTTAATATTTACAATTCTGTTTCTGTCTAACTTGCTTCTCACAAACGTTCACTCAATCAGCCTTCAATCTTCGCAGAGTGCAGTTGGCATCTAGTTTATCATTCGATTTTCGTCCATTGTATGTTGAATCAAATTTTCTGTATTATTTTCCATGTAACAGTATCTTTGATCTCCCTTAGGTAGTCTAGACTTTTGGTTGTTTGATACTTTCTTACCTTTTCTCAGCAGTAAATTTATCAAACTTATGGTTTGAATTGTTAGTAGAGGAATTCCAGATATTTATTTTGCGTTTGCTATTGTTCAACATCTTAGAGGATAGATTATTGCGGGACACTGACGGCAAATCTCGAGTTTTACTGATAGTTGAATCCGCTGCACTCTTCGTAACTGTTACAAAATTTAACGATTTCATCTGTCGTCGTGTACAGGACGAGAGTAGGTCAACTACTATTGAAATGCTCAGACCTTCATGATAGCTAAAATAAATCGGTATGATAACTGTTTGAAATGAATCTTTCTCAACGAAATTCACGTAGCATCTATCAGTACTGCTAAATTCATTTGTCGTAGGCTGTTTATCAAATAGACTTTTAAAGTTCAATTCAACAAGCCTTCTATCTATCGTTTCGTTATCACTATATCAGACAAAGAATTCTCATTTATATCTGCCATAATCACTAAATTATCCGTCACACCACTTGTTGAACTTCTATCAATCCATTCACAAATTCCTTTTTACTTTGTTTTGGGTGTCGATAAGTTATCAAGACATAAATATTCATCGTAGAGAAATGAACAACAATACACTCTAAATAAATTGTTTCTACTAAAACGATTTTGTCGAATGGTAATCCTTGTTTGATATAAATTCCGACTCCGCCATGTTTTAATGAATGAAGTAGATGCTTGTTTTCGAAACATTCTTCACGTGTTCTGTGAACAAAATTATGGTCTACCAATCGAATACTATCAACATAATTACTGCTAGATAATCAAGTTTCTGCGAGACCAATCACATTCGCATGAAGTAAATTATAATGATTCGCACAGACACCAAGCTCTAGAGTATCTAGTGTAATACGACTGGGTTTAGCTATACCTTTCTTAACTGATGGTACTGTGACAATTTCTTTGCAAAGTTTCTTTAGCATTTTTTGATTGTGAATATTAATTTGATCATTGCGAACAAAGATATGCAGAACTTGTCGATTATAATCCTCTCTTAAATATCTTTGATGACACTGGTAAAAAAGATGTACGATCTTCTGTTGAAAAAAGTTCATTTTTCTTTTTGTTCTAAGACGAAAAAAAAACTTTCTACTTTGACGCATATTTGTTTTGAATTCTACCATTTCAAAATGATCCAGAAATAGATCAATGAATCCATCATATAAACGTAGACCGATCGTTGGGCATGGACAGAAGTCACCGACTGCAATTACTCCAATATCATCAAAAATAGACCAGTAGGGAAATTACACCTTTGATGTCTTGCCATCGATGAGAAACAGTAGACCACATATTATAATTCATAAATGATACTTCATCATCAAAGTTTAATTTCACACTTCCAATTTTACCTCGATAACTATTTAATTTGTCGAATGATAAACGTTCATAAGTTTTTTTTAATTTTTTGCCTAGTCCGAGAGTACTGTGATAATTAAAACCACCAATACGAAAAGCACAAGTTCCAGTTTTAATCGTATGTACGTCGTCATCAAAATCAGAATAAACATTGACTGATTTACGTTTAAAAATTCTTGTTGATTCAAAGAACATACATTCCACTAAACATAATTTACCGCTGCCTCTTGGGCCAGGCAAGAACAGATGTATTGACTCAACATTTGTCCAATAATGTTTTTTAGGCACCAATTTCGTACGTATAATAGAAAACATCTTATTGCTTTTCATTTATTGTTCACAACAGTTGCATACCACCATTGTCTTTAATAGTCACTTGTTTAATTTGATCTAAATGTGTAAATTCTTCTTCGATTTACTTGGAAACATACTGCTGATGTCATCATTTTGTTCATTTCGAAATATTTGTAGTTGTTCATTTTCACGATCTTTTCTTGCTATTATCTTTGCTCATTTATCAATTTCACTAGCTTCTAATACTTTGCTGAAAATTTCCTCCATTGTCTCGATCTGAGTGGTAAAAAACGTGATTCCGTTTTTTGCGCTACTCTCTCGTCTTTATGCCTTGCCAACGAGGACACACCCGAAACTCGTGATTATCTTATTTTGCTAAAGAAAGTGTTCTTTTACTAACGAGATGGCAGATTTTAGAGCTCTCTATGATTCTTATTACTGTTGGTAAAAAATACAGAAGTTTATTCTTTGTCTGTGGTGAACAAACACATAAAGATAGTTTCTTAGGCCTAAAATGAGTCCCAAACAACCCTTTTTTTTTAAGTTTTCTTTTTTAGAGTTTTTCTCTCACGGTTACACTGATTACTACCTAAAACAAAAACAAGTGAACGAGTGATCATAATAAAAAAACGTGAAAATGTAACTTAAACCTACTTGACAAGGCTGCCAAATCTCATGTTAACAAAAACGACTAGATAATCGTCGTCTCAAATTGACCTGTATCGACATTACTTTCATTTTACTAATCATCATGAATAAAGTGTTGTTTACACATATATAAGAAAAAACTAGACAACAAAAAGAAGTAGTAATAAGTCTTTCAAACAGAAAAAAATGATAGTTCAAGTTTAACAGCTGACGACAACGATAACAAAAAAGGTAAAAACTGTCACGATTTTTTCGTCAAAAATATCATATCGTCTGCGATAATA